CCATGCGTTGAATTACCACGCGTCGAATCACCACATATCGAAATACCACGCGTCGAATTACTACGTACCGAAATACCACGCGTTGAACTACCATCCGTCGAAATACCACGCGTTGAACTACCACGCATTGAATTACTATGCGCAGAACCACTACGCGTAGAAGTACCACGCATCGAATTACCACCTTTCCTACAAAACCTCACTAAAACAGCCACCATCGCCACACTATGTGCAAACTTGCACATAGTCAGACAATCGACCTCCATAACACCAAGGTCAAATCGACGGTTCACCCAGTTCCATAATAAATATAATTACCATGCGTATACTAATTACATGTACGACGAAAAACCATACGAAAGTGTATATGATTGACTCGCAAATTTAAAACCGTGACAACTTGGTCACGTAGCTCCATCGACAAATAGGATGTCCACAAGGCTCGCATGCAAATGGAGAACCATAGGATAACAGAATAAGGACACTAAATATTGGCAGGTTATGTCAGTAGAGGAACAGAGAAATAAAATGAAAGAAAACGAAAAGAATTATAATTCGTTCATGCAGGTACGCCCTACGGCCTTCAATCTGGCCACGTACGCCGAGCCAAGTCTCGTTTAGATTAATTGTTATGGTATCAATCCGAATCGCTCTACTGGTATACACATCTCTACGGTTCGTTTCTTGTATATTGGTATTACTGATATTGTTTTTCTGTTCGTTTTCGCGTAAACACAAAGCCCGTCAGTCACACTTCGATCTCTCACGTGAACTCCTCTTCGGCGTCCTCGGTTGTCGTCGAACCTTTACCTTTGTCCAGGATATTCTTCAGGGCTTTGTTCAATTTTTTATTATTTCCTCCGTTGTCATCATCTTCATCGTCATCGTCATCGTCATCGTCGTCGTCGTCGTCATCTTCGTCTTCATCGTCGTCATCGTCATCATCGTCTTCGTCTTCATCATCATCGTCGTCATCATCATCATTATCATCATCATCGTCATCATCATTATCATCATCGTCATCATCATCGTCATCATCATCATCATCATTGTCATCATCATCATCATCATCATCATCATCATCATCATCATCATCATCATCATCATCATCATCATCATCATCATCATCATCATCATCATCATCATCATCATCATCATCATCATCATCATCATCATCATCATCATCATCATCATCATCATCATCATCATCATCATCATCATCATCATCATCATCATCATCATCATCATCATCATCATCATCATCATCATCATCATCATCATCATCATCATCATCATCATCATCATCATCATCATCATCATCATCATCATCATCATCATCATCATCATCATCATCATCATCATCATCATCATCATCATCATCATCATCATCATCATCATCATCATCATCATCATCATCATCATCATCATTATCATCATCACCTGTGTATTAACAGGGTCATCGATAATACTTCAGCGCGACCGGAAATGAGAGCGTGTACCTAGGTTTTTTGTGACCGATATGGCCTCTCGGTCTAAGGGATAGCATGCATTTTTTTTACTGTTTAAAATGGACGATATTATTGACGGCATATCACAACGAACATGGACGAATTGTTATCGATATTGTTCCCTCATGGGTGATCGCGACATGTTTACACACATTTGGTTGCATTTGGAAAAGTCTGTTCGCGTTTTGTGTCGTTCGATATCCAGTTTTTATTGAATTCTTTTAATTCTTCATTGGATCGCTTTGTCACGAGTGATTCGAGTTTATGGAAAAATTGTGAAGGGTGGCCAGCTTTTTATTTGATGGAATCAGTTTTAAAAATTTAAACTGATCGAACAGTCGATCAATCGCTCAATCTGTCAATCTGTCAATCTGTCAATCTGTCGATCTGTCGATCTGTCAATCTGTCAATCTATCAATCTATCAATCTATCAATCTATCAATCTATCAATCTATCAATCCATCAATCTATCAATCTATCAATCTATCAATCTATCAATCTATCAATCTATCAATCTATCAATCTATCAATCTATCAATCTATCAATCTATCAATTCATCAATCTATCAATCTAGCAATCTATCAATTCTCTCTGAAAATTAGTACAAAAGAGCTGTCCTCCATTCAGATTTGAAATTTATCCATAAATCGTTTGCTTCGCGGCAAAACAGTCCAATGAGAACGCGACCAAAGAAAGATCTTGCGGCACAAAAGTCGTTAAAAATATGTAGCTTTAAAAAAGCCTTAGACAGAGGAAGCTTCGTTGGTCCCCGATTCGCGAGGAATATCGGTAGCTGCACGTTTCGCGAGATATAAAACAATTATTCAAAGTAAAAAATATAAGTCGTGATTATTATGGTGAGATGGTTGCGTGACAGCGAGCGGCGAGACAGCGATAGAGAAAAATGTAGAATAAAATGACAGTGTGAGAAAAAATGTGAATAAAAAGAGCGAAAGAGAGAAAGAAAAAAAAGAGAATGAAAGCTCGCAGTTGTATCAGTGTGCTTTTTAAATGCATTGTGAACGGTATGGTCAGTTAGCCAGAGCGATTGTTGCCGCATCGTTAGAAGCTAAATGACACGAATCGAGCTTTCTCATTTTTTTTCACCGAGCTTTGTGAGATCTTTCTTTTCATTTCGTTCTTGTTCTTCTCGTTTATACCGATTTCCCGTCCCCTATTATCTTTCCTTATTCACCACCGATCCTCTTTAATAACATCAACATCTAGTTAACAATATGTATATTCGAGTTATTAGGTCATTTCATAAATAACGTCACTATACGAATTATGATGACATGGAGAAGAAGTATCATAATTAATGTAGGTCCCTGAAATGGATGGTGGCTGATGTGATTCTGAATAAGATTTCCCTTCGCAAAAATGGGATTTGAAGCTTCGTTTTTGAATTATTAAGGAAAAACACGGACGTAATCCTTGTGCTGGGATTGGTGAATTGCCACAGGTGGAATTACTACGTATGGAATTACCACGCGACGAGTTACCACGCGACGAGTTACCACGCGTGGAATTACAACGTGTCGAACTACCACGCGTCCAATTACCACGTATCGAATTACCATGTATTGAATTACAACGCGTCGAATTACTACGTATCGAATTACCACGCGTCGAATTACCACGCGTCGCATTACCACGCGTTGAATTACCAGTCACTGAATTACTATGCGTGGACTTACCACGCATCGAATTACCACGCGTGGAATTACTACGCGTAGAATTACCACGCACCGAGTTACCGCGCACCGAATTACCACGCGTCGAATTACCATGCATCGACTTATTGATCCGAGTTTTTTCCTAATAATTCAAAAACGAAGCTTCAAACTTCATTTTTGCAAAGGGAAATCTTATTCAAAATCACGTCAGCTACCCACCATTTCAGGGACCTACACCAGTCCCTGTATAATTCTTTTTCACCACAGTATTTGATGGTCAATTTAATTTAATTTAATTTAAATTTAAAATAGAAAGAATTGAAAGTTCATCATCTAATAATTAAATCAAGAAATATTCAGCACTAGTTAGGATAAAATAAATATGAACATTCATTATAATTTACAAATGTAACAACAGCAGACTTTGCAAAATGAAATATATAGAAAAAGAGTAATTACCCGAATTAAAAATAGCAACAGTTAATTTTTCCACGACGAACAAAAATTAAATAAATATTATTTATAAAACGACCCATCTCAAGCGTTAGTATCATTACATATTCACGCGAATAAACCAAAGAAAGATATATATTTGAAAACATTTCCAACGCGATCATGGAGTTCGCGGAGGTGGCAGAGTGACCGGGGTGACAACCACAGCGCGAGTACTATACTCGTAGCCGGGTGGTATAGTAACGACCGAGATTAACGTCACAAAGAACAGTACACCAGTAATAATAATCATCATCCTAGAAATCTCCTTACTTTTCTGTTCGATTAGCCATTCCAGAACTCTCTCCTCGTTCTTAAGATTACCTACAAAAGGCACACACGCATATCAGGATCTGCTCAGTTTTGCTCGATGAGCACCGAGATTCGTTCGGCGCGAAGGAAGGAGAAAGGGGTTTTTATTTCAGGGTTCCTTTAGTTGTTCTTCGTTTTCTCCTAAATTTTGGGGTTCTTTTGGTATTATTATAAATTAATAAGTGAGATAAGTGAGATATCATATGTACATATGTAACATTATGATGGTGGATGCTTAATCGTTTGAGTATCAAGGGTAGATCTATGGACACCTATCCCTAGGTTAATAAATTCTTAGAACAGGGAAACTATAGATTTATGGAGGGATTATAGAATTTGGGGGCAATAGAATTTTGGATCATTAGAATTCTGGGATTTTTAGCTCTTAGGACATTGGAATTTTGGAGCTGTAGAATTTGTGGACATTGAAAGAGGAATTAAGGATTTTATGATGTTGGAATTTTTAAAGTTTGTAATTTTTATGCATTATAATTTCAGAACAATAAAATTTTTGTATTGACTCAAAAATTATTTTTGGGCAATAAAACTTGAAACTATAAAACTTCATACCTTTAAAATGATAAAATGTTAAGAATTCCAAACCTTGATATTTGTGATCTTCATACTACAACTCCCTCATACGCAACCTACCCTCAACACTCAAACGATTAATATTCGAAAATTTTCCAAATGAGAATCCCCTAAATAAACAAATACTATAACTAAATAATACAATTAAATAATCGAAATCATAATGATCAGCTAATGAAGTACCTTCATAAAATTGAAAAGAGATCAAATCCCCTTTGTATTCAAATGAAATCCAAAAATGTTCCTCAAATCCTCAACTAAAGAACTTTTTTCAAAATTAGGAGAAAAATGAGGATACCGAAAGGAATATAAAGCATTTTTGAAAGGTCTTTGCACGTTCAAAGACGATTTGTAATGAAAATATGAAAAGGATCGCGGGTATCGAGAACAAGCCAAGGATGAAGCAGCGTCGAGACTTACCGTCATACATGATGGGCACTCCAGTCTCGTAATATACGAGCGCCGGAAATGAAAATACACCGATTTCAGCGGCCAATTTCGCGTCGTTCGATTTAACGAACTGTATACCGTGTTTGTCGGTGTCGTCGTCTATTGTTTCTAGTTCTTCCAGGATTTCCGGGCACGATTCGCATTTATCGTCGTCTGTTGAGAGAAAATATTTAACCCTCTGAGAGAACGCTTCTGTTCCATCACTATTTTCTTTCCTTTTTATTTAATATGATTTTTAAGCAAATTTTTGTGATTCTGCACTTAGGAATTTTTCTATTTTCAAGTTTTATGATTTTATAAGTTGGAAATTTTTGAGCTTTCAAATTTTTGAATTTGCAAATTTTTATCTCCTCATATTTCCAACTCCTTAAATTTCTACATTTCTAGTATTTCAAATTTCCAAATTTTCACATCCCTAAATTCCTATATTCCCCAAATTTTCACGACTTTAAATTTCTATATTCCTCAAATTTTCAAACCCTCAAATTTCTACATTTCTAGTATTTCAAATTTCCAAATTTTCACATCCCTAAATTCCTATATTCCCCAAATTTTCACGACTTTAAATTTCTATATTCCACAAATTTTCACACCCCTAAATTTCTATATTTTCCAAATTTTCACATCCCTAAATTTCTATATTCTCGAAATTTTCACGCCCCTAAATTTTTATATTTCCCAAATTTTCACATCCCTAAATTTCCATATTCCCCAAATTTCCAAATCTCCAAATTTTCAAGTTCTAAAATTTCAAATGTCCCAACCTCCAAATTTCTGAATTCACGAGTTATCAAAATCTTAAATTTCTATATTTTCAAATTGTCAAATTTCTCAAATTAGAATTCCCCTTATCCCCTATATCCCTAGATCGCTATAAACACCCTAATAAAAACATCCCCAATAAGAATAACAATTCCCTAATAAAAGTGTAGAAGGAAGCCATGCTCTCCAATGTAAGCACTTACTAATTTTTAATAAAAATACTTAATATTAAAACTTGCAATCCTAAATAGTATGAGTGAAAATAATATAGAATAATAATAAATAGTATATAATAATAATAATAATAATAGAATAATAATACAGTGTACTTACAAAAGAATACAGCAAGATGCTCGACATCATTAATCAGCACTTGCAGAGTCTTCCTATCTACATTCTCGATAACGTCCGGTGTTTGAGTACGCAGCTCCAGGATCCATTCCAAAATGGCTTCCTCGTGCATCATATCGCCGTTGTAGACTTGACGGAACTTGTGTCTGTAGAATGCCAATGCTGGTAAACCAGGCAGATCGTATTCTTTCTCGATTCCTTCGTCGGAAATTTTCACGAAGTCGATGTCTTTCTCTTCGCATTCGTCGTCGATGTTTTCGAGTTCTTGAAGGATCTTTTGGCTTTTCTTGTCTCCTTCCTTGTCTGCGGTTAGGTGAATGATCTCTCGTTAATTTTTCTTGTAGACAACGAGTTAATTATGATTGTTTATAAAGTTACTTAAAATTATTGTGAAACATTGTTATAATAATTAAGTCAATTATATCTGACAATTATTATAAACATCATGATAAATTATAATTTTAATCATTATCATAGCTATTGCTGCTTTCACAGCTATTGTTTACCACAGTTGTTGTTATAACTATCACAAAATAAAGAATAATTTTTTAAGAGTCGTTCAGTGTTAGAATAATTTTTTTACAATGTTTATAATTTTCAAAAATATTCAAACTGAAAATGCTTACAGAAGAACACAACAATATAGTCATTTTCTTCAAGAATGTTCTCCAACATCTTCGCATTCACTTCCTCGATCTTCCCAGGAATCTCAAGGGTGTTCTCATCGGTGATCCAAGAAAGCACCTCGTCCTCATCCTCGATGTCCCCTTTGAAAATCAACGGTTCCTTGTTCCTGAAGAAGGCCAGTGTAGGGAACGTCTTGATTCCTTGTTTCTTCGCAAAGGCAGTGTCCTCTGTGGTCACGAAGATGATTCCTGTCTCGTCTAGTTCATCATCAATGTTCTCGAGTTCTTGTAGGACGTTGTCGCACTCGTCTCCGTCGTCGCAATCTCCACCTTATTGAACAGAGTCGTAGAACTGTATTATGTGACTGTAGTCTTGTTATATTGTTAATTTGGAAATTTAGGGTGGGATGTTTGGGAATTTGGGGATTTAGGGATTTGGGGATTTGGGGATTTGGGGTTTGAGGATTTGGAGATTTGGGATTTGGGGATTTGGGGAATTAGGAATTGGGGAATTAGACATTGGGAAATTTAGGAATTGGGAAATTTGGAATTGGGAAATTTGGAATTGGGGAAATTGGAATTGGGGAAATTGGGAATTGGGGACAGTGGGAATTGGGGAAATTGGGAATTGGGAAATTTGGAATTGGGAAATTTGGAATTGGGGAAATTGGGAATTGGGGAAATTTGGAATTGGGGAAATTGGGTATTGGGGAAAGTGGGAATTGGGAAATTTGGAGTTGGGGAAATTGGGAATTGGGGAAATTGGGAATTGGGGAAAGTGGGATTGGGGAAA